CTCAGTCCTTCAAACCCAAGCCTGCCACGAGCACGGTCGCAAACGCCGATCACCAGATCATGATGCAAACTGCTGTGGCACCGTTTCTCTCCTCCAAGCTGAAGCCGATCAATGGCCGTATTCTCTTTGATACCGGCTCCACCAAGACATACATCACGCAAGCTTATCGAGATCAGCTCGATTTGCCCACAATCGGAAATGAAACACTCTCCTTGGCTACATTTGGGAACAACAAAAGAAAAAGTACCGTGTACGCCAAGGTGAGTTTGACCATGCAGTGTAAGGATGGGTCCACTCGTGCGATTCAGGCCAGTGTACTTCCGAACATAACCGCTCCAATTGCGCGATGTCCACTTGCTTCTTCTTTTCCTCTTCTACAGTCTCTGCCACTTGCAGAACCGCTCTCCAGCAGCGCAGAGCCCATGGTCGTAGACGTCTTGATTGGTCTCGATCACTATTATGATATTATCGGCAAGGACCGCACCGAACTAAGCGGTGGTCTGGTCTTGCTCGACTCCGTTCTTGGTTTTATCTGTACCGGCAGTCTGCCTGTGCCTGCCACCACAGAGGCGCAGTCATGTCTTGCTCATCAAACAGACACGGACCCTGAATTCGACCTCCGTAAGTTCTGGTCGACAGAGAGCTTGGGTACTTTTGACGATATGTCGTCGCAAGATCTTGTGGGCGAGCGCTTCGCCAACTCCATCTCCTTTGCCGAGGGTCGGTACGCGGTGAGTTGGCCCTGGAGGGACTCACATCCTCCTCTTCCGACAAACTACGGTCTGGCTTTCGGTCGCCTGAAGGCACAAGTGCGTCGCCTCGAAGCCCATCCGGAACTTCTTGACCAGTACGATACCGTGATTCAAGACCAGCTTGACAGGGGCATGATAGAAGATGTTCCTCGTGGTTTTACAACCAACCAGATTCACTACCTTCCACACCATTCAGTACTCAAACCTACTGCTACTACCACGAAGCTGAGGGTAGTGTATGATGCGTCCGCAAAATGTTCCGAAAAACTCGCCAGTCTCAACGACTGCTTGCACGCTGGCCCCAATCTTGTTCCAGACCTTTGCGGTATTCTTCTTCGTTTTCGTCTTTCTCCGGTAGCCATAAGTGGAGACGTAGAAAAGGCCTTTCTGCAGATTGGTCTGCACTCACATGATCGTGACGTGACCCGCTTCCTATGGCTGCACGATGCATCCAGCTCAGCTACTCCAGACAACATACGACAACTTCGTTTCTGTCGTGTTCCGTTTGGCGTTGTCAGCAGTCCATATCTCTTGGCTGCCACTATTCAGCATCATCTTAGCGCTGCTGATACAACAGATTCCGACCTAGTGTCTCGCAATATTTACGTTGACAACCTGTTCCTTGGTGCCAACTCTGGGACGGAGGCGATTGCTATCTATGATGCCACGAAGCGCCTCTTCAGTGTTGCGTCTATGAATGTTCGCGAGTGGTCTAGTAATTCTGCAGAGTTTCTTAGCAGCATTCCAGAACCAGACCGAGCCAAGGGTACTATCCACAAGTGCCTCGGTATGCTGTGGGATACAGAACATGATACTCTACATATTGCACCTGTCAGTGCCGTATCCAAGTCGGCCACAACGAAGCGGAGTATCCTTCGACATACTGCCCAATTCTTTGACCCCCTTGGTCTCCAGTCTCCTGTTCTTGTTGGTGCGAAGATTCTGCTTCAGGATCTTTGGAAGCTGAACGTCGGCTGGGACGACGACCTTCCACAAGACATCATTTGTAGATGGTGTGATATTGCGGCTCAACTTGAACTTGCTGCATCAACGAAATGTCCACGATTCATCAGTGCACCACGTGCCAGCGACGCTCGGTTTTCTCTCCACGTCTTCAGCGACGCATCTGGGCTGGCTTACGGTGCCGTTGCTTACCTTACTACTACGTTTGACGATCAACACACGTCGAACCTTCTAATCAGCAAGTCCCGTGTTGCACCTGTTGCTTCACCTACCATTCCACGTCTGGAATTAATGGCCGCGCTTCTCGGTGTTCGTCTGATCCAATTCGTCCGTCGGGAACTTCCGCTCACTTTCTCCTCTACCTTTCTATGGTCAGACTCCACCACAGTTCTCCATTGGCTGGCCTCTTCTGACAAACTACCTGTCTTCGTCAACAACCGTATTGATGCCATTCGTGCGGTTCCCGATGTTGCCTATCGCTATGTCCGCTCTGCCGACAATCCCGCCGACTTGCCTTCACGCGGTGTCTCTGTTCCTTCCCTTCAAGCCAGCTCGCTATGGTGGCACGGTCCACACTTCCTTGCCACTGCTGACCATCACGCCGAGCCAGCACTTGATCACCATGTCAACGTTGCCGCTGGGGAGGGTCCTTCAAGCACTTCGGAGATACCTGCACCTGTATCACACCCAACAGAGTCCACCGGTCCAGACACTGAGCTTGCACACGAAATGAAAAAAAAGCCTGATGCGCATCACGAACAAAAAAAAACATGTGATGAACCACCATTTGGTATTGATTGTGCCAGGTTTTCGTCTTTCAGTGCCTTAGTGCGTGTTTCTGCTCTGTGTTTGCGGTTTCTCTCCAGGTTGAGACCACAAGGCGGCAAGTCCTTCGGGGTGGATTCTAGTTGTAACTCAGAGGTCAAGGTAGCCAAAATCATGTGGCTACACCATGCACAACAGAATCTGTCAGACGTCAGTGCTGTCGAAAATTGTAAGAAGCACAGCCCGAAGGACAAGCTGCGGCTCTTCCTCGATGAGAACCGCCTCATCAGATGCAGAGGACGCTTGGAGAACGCCGAACTTTGCTATCAAGCAAAGTATCCAGTACTGATTCCCCAAACGCATCCCATCACCCAGCTCATCATCAACGATTGTCACCTGATGACGATGCATGGCGGCGTTGCACACACGCTATCAAGACTGCGTTACGAGTACTGGTTACCACGAGGGCGTGCAACAGTGAAGTCATTCATCACTAAGTGCCTGACTTGCCGGAAGCACCACGGTGGTCCATACCGCACCCCAGATATGGCCCCGCTTCCATCTGCCCGCGCAACAAGATCTATCCCGTTCACCCATGTGGGACTAGATTACTTCGGTCCTCTGCTCGTCAAGCACCAGCCAAGTACCAAGAAGGTATGGGTCCTCCTAGTGACATGTATGGCAACTAGAGCTGTCCATCTAGAACTGGTGGCAGACATGACCACAGAGGAATTCCTGCTAGCGTTCCGCAGGTTCGTGTCGTTGCGTGGTTGCCCTGAAGAGGTAGTGTCTGACAACGCGCCACAATTCATCCTAGCTAAGTCTGTTCTGGATGTGGCCTTTGAAGAAATGGCAACGAGTGATGATGTCCTGTCGTACATGTCGAGGACTGGTGTGAAGTGGCACTATAACCCACCGATCTCACCTTGGATGGGTGGTTTCTACGAGCGTCTCGTTGGAACAGTCAAACGAAGCCTGAAGAAGGTCGTTGGCCGCGCGCTCCTCACTGTGTCGCAACTGACTACCATTCTCATGGAAGTGTCAGCAGTCGTCAACTCGCGTCCACTGGTGTACGTGGACAATGACTTGCAGGAGATACTCACCCCAAGTCATTTTCTGTGCCTGTCCGCAACTACTGGTGGCGTGCAACCCACTGCTGATGACGGCGATCCGGACCACATCGAAGTTCCGACTGCAGCTCAGAATCTTCTCTCTGTCTGGAAGAAGGGTCAACGAACATTGGACCAGTTCTGGCGTGTCTGGCGAGACGACTACTTGGCTGATCTCCGCAACAGTCACACTCGGAAGCTCCGACAGGCACGCGTTACCGCTTCAGAACAGCCAGCCGTTGACGATGTTGTACTAATAAGGGATGACATGCCCCGTGGCTCATGGCGACTTGGTCGCATTGTCGCTCTCCATACAAGCAAGGACATGGAGATACGTTCCGCAACCGTCATCACTGCAGAGAAGACAGAGCTCAAACGACCCCTGTCTCTCCTGTACCCTATCTGTCCTGCTGCTAACTCCGAGGCTAACAACAACAGCACCGCTCCGGACACACACACCACTGGCCAAGCCGATCTGCCAGTTCCAGCAGCTGTTGCTCCACCCAGTCGTCCACAACGTGCTGCCGCTAAGAAGCAACGTCAGACGCTTCGCCAGTTAATTGGCAGCGAACTTGTTTAGTTGAATCAGCTAGACAGTTGGTAGTTCACATCTGAACTCTCTCTTTCTCTCTCTCTCTCTCTCTCTCTCTCTCTCTCTCTCTCTCTCTCTGTGTGTGACGGTCTACTCTCTTTCACCCTTGCGTAATATATGCACTTATTGTGTTTTGTTTCCACGTTACTTTGTTACGAATTATCTCCTTTTCTCTGCATCTCTTGCGGGGGAGTGTCACGACGTTGACATGATGTTCAACGTCATGAGATTATTTGCAGTACACGTCATAGTTTGTGTTCTCTACCCCGGTTTGTTTCCGCGTTCCCACACCGAAGCGGGGCCGCGTGTTTATTATTTCTACTGACTCACTCGCCTCTTGGCGACTTCCTCCATGTTTTTTCCTCCTTTTTTGCTCTGCGCAAGCGCCTTGCGCTTTAGTCGTCGTCTTCTTTCAGTTCACAGCAAGAACAATAATTTTACCTCTTGTGCAGTGTCAGTCAAATTCAGTCAAATCAAGCTCTCCCGATCCCAAGAAACTGTCTGGCGTGTGCACAAGCATGTTCACAGTCGAATGTGAGGTGCGAACTGAGCTGACAACGAAAAACTGCCACAGACCCCTGCAGAGCTAGGCTGACAGAGTACGGGGTGCCATTGACGACGGGCTTTATTGCTACCGTATTTTTCCGTATCCATTGACCACGGGCTTTATCGGCTCATCAAGGCCACCGCGGGAACGTCGCTCATTGGCTACAACCATAGAAACGGTACGGTAAAAACCTGAATGCAGCCGTAAAGTCCTGCCAGACCTCTATGATCGTATGATTGTCTACTTCACTACTTGAAGAGCAGCTTGGTTTCTTGGTTTTTTCACGACTTCTGCCAAGGTCTGGGCTGTGGCCTTGCATTTTGAAGAGCTCTGCATGCAAGGAAAGAAGCGCCACAAGCTTCGGGCGCAGTGTATGGATGCACGTCGAGCGGCAGAATTTAGCTATCTCTACTGTCAAGAGGAGGAAGAGCTGAAAACTGGGTCTGGAGAAGTTCACTCGAGGAGCAGCACATGCGTACATCAGCGCCTTTCCAAGGCCAGTGACCCCAAGTAAAATTGATACTGAATTGTGTCAGCACCTGATGGTGGTATGACCTATTCCTAAACTAGCCTACTTTGCCTGTTAGTGAACAGTGGAGCAGAATACTACCAATTCTGTCACAAGCCGTGGCAAGATATGGGATCGTACCGTTGTGCTGAAGGTGTGCGAGCTGGGCTGCAAGGCGGTTGCTGCAGTAGATCGCGATGCGGCCCAAGTGAATGCATGATTCACTGTCTGGATACCATGTTATTGGATATGACTGCGCTGTTAGACATATTATTCTGACCTGACAAGTACTGGGTGAAAGATGAGGAGGCACCGACGTGCAGATACTGCGGTGATGAGTTTACACTGACCAATCGGCGTCATCACTGTCGTCTGTGCGGCAACATATTTCATGGTGGGGAGTGCGCACAGAAGGCGGGCCAGTTTGAGGTGTGGGTGTGCAGGTTCTGCTTCGAGTACCACACTATCTACAAGGGCCCCATGCAGGGTGGTGAGTAGCAATTGCAGTGCATTCCCTTGCAGTGTTGTGCCCGATCCCCCAGCTGCACAGCAGGAGTGATGCTAACATGTACCAGCCGTCAGTAATCATAGGAGCATAATGTTATGTGAGGATAAAAGTATCGTAAAAAAAAGAGAGTAAATTATCGTGTCCGTTTCCGAAGGGAACTCACGACGGTCGCTAACACCAGCTAAACTCTAGTACGTTAAAATGCCATGAGAACACCCCACGGCCGCCACCCTGTCGTGGCCGTGTTTCGGAGGCAGGGTCCTGTCTGGAGGCCGTCATGCAACACACACCCTGTATACACAACACATGCTGTGCAGTCAATCCATACTCCGTTTGCCTTCGAGCACCCAGTCTCGCAAAAAGAGCCTTGATTTTACAGCCCAGGCAACTTAGGAAAGGGAAATCGTATGGCAGACCAAACTTAGTTTGTACGGTGTGAGAGCCTTAGTGTACAAAGGTCACAATTGGCATGCTCTTGTGTGGAGCTCGCATCTGTTCAAAGGTAAATTGAGTACGGATTGGATGCACAATGTGCAATGTGTGAACACGGTGTGTGCTGTATGACCTCGAGATAGGACACCACCTCCACAGTACGAGCACGAAAGGACGAGGTGGTGGGATGCTCTTGCGCTACTTTATGATGCTGCTCTCTGCATGAAAATACCAGGTCCCAGGAGTGACCTGGTTACTTACCAACGACATTCCAACTGCACCCCGGTTTACTTGATTGCTACTATGACGGTGTGCCGTCGCCGCTGTGCATGCGTATGTGCATGTGTATGTGTGTGCATGCATGTGTGTGCATGTCTGTGTGTGTATGTGTGTATGTGTGTGTGTGTGTGTGTGTGTGTGTGTGCGCGCGTGCATGGAACATGTGTTGTCTGTGTGTCTATCTACACAGGTTGTGTTATAACAAAGTACACTAAGGATCTGGAGAGGAACCACCAGAGACACTTCTGGCTCTCCAGTGACGGCCGAGAGCTCATCTGGAAGGAAGTGGAGTCGCGCTCCCGTCCAAGCAACATAACAGGTATGTGCCTATGTGGCGTTGTGCATGCTGCTGGTAATACCCCGGCCTCTGTGTAGTGAGGGCCTGGGGTGAGTACTGCTTCTGCTGTTGCTGCTGCTACTGCTGCTGGTAGCCATACACTGCTTAGTGGCTGCTGCTGCTGCTAGAATGTGCTGCTCTCCACTCTTTGTTGCTGGTGCTGCATACCACCGCAGTGCATGCTGGTGACTTTCCTGAACAGCAGGCTCACGTTCTCCTGACCATGGATCCAAAGATCAGTGTTCACAGGCAATGAATCACGAGAATTGGGATACAGGGGTATGATGCCCTACACATGTACTGGTCCCAATCATGTAGCGGAGTACAATGGTGCTGCAATTGGTGCACGAGTATGTAATGCGCCCTGTAGAGCGCTCTCTGACATTTTTTTCCAGTTTTGAATCTCATGATATTTGTGTGGTATGTGTGTGCAAATTAGAAAATTAAAGAAAAATGAAAAATAGCGATTCATTGGCCAGAAAAGCCACTTCAACCAGCCGTATTGTGTAGAGCAGGCTAAATTAATGGTGGTCAATTCATCAGCCTTGCAAGCTGTTGAATGGTGTAATCCCAGCACAAGTTGCTATGTCAACCATAGCGTGTTCGCTATCCGGCATCGTTTCGGCGATGGGCAGGTGTGTGTGTGTGTGTGTGTGTGTGTGTGTGTGTGTGTGTGTGTCTCATATTGGTGGTCAATTCTTCAGCCTTGCAAGCTGTTAAATGGTGCAATCCCAGCACAAGCTGCTATGGCTTCTGCTGTAGCATCGCTATCATCGCCTCCGGCGATGGGCGTCCAATGGTCCAATGGTGTCCCATATGGTGCAGTGGTATGTGCAGTCGTTTTCTAATCGAGAGGTTGCGGGTTTAATTCCCGACGATTATGGTCGCACACGTCTTTCTTCTCTTTCTCATTCTCCTAGCTCTTCTTTCATTCTCCTGGGTGGTTACCAACAGCCAGTGTATGCCGGAGTATGTGGTGTGGCGTATGTGTGTAAAAAATTAAATAAATAAATGAAAAAAATGAAAAATAGGGATTCACTGGCCAGGAAAAGCCACTTCAATCAGCTGTGTGATGGATACCAGGCTAAAAATTAGTGGCGGTCAATTCATCAGCCTTGCAAGCTGTTGAATGGTGTAATCCCAGCACAAGTTGCTATGTCTAACATAGCTGTGCGCCATCATCGCTTCCGCGATGGGCATGTGTGAGGTCTGAGGTGTGTGTGTGTGTGTGTGTGTGTGTGTGTCTGACTTTTCTTTCATTCTCCTGGGTGGTTACCAACAGCCAGTGCATGCCGGAGTATGTGGTGGGATGTGTGTGCCGGGAAAAAAAAAGAAGACCAAAAATAGGGATTCACTGGCCAGAAAAAGTCACTTCAAATAGCTGTATGGTGTAGACCAGGCTGAATAGTGACGGTCGATTCTTCAGCCTTGCAAACTGTTGAATGGTGCAATCCCAGCACAAGTTGCTATGGCTTCTGCAGTAGCATTGCTATCATCGCCTCCGGCGATGGGCGTCAGAAGGTCAAAAGGTGTGTGTGTTTGACTCTAACATAGTGGTGAAACGAATATTCGAATATTCGTTCGGTTTGTCACGTTCGAGTATTCGTTACGGCACTTCGAATGCACTGCATGTACATGCATGCACGCCGAACACAGTAGAGTGCAGTGTGTATAGCCTGCCCTGTGATTTCGTACTGCATGCGCAGATGTATGCGCATACTGGACTGCCAATGTTGCACGTAACATGTATGAACTTTGAAGTAGCCTGATGTGGCAGTACGTTTTATGTGGCACTATCGTTTGTCATGCCTAAGGCCATCATTTTTTATATCTATGTTTCGCGTCAGTTCAACTTCCAGAATCATATGCGAGAGGTGGAAAGAAATAAAAAGTTGCAAAATAATAAAAAAAGATTATCAGAGGTGTATAGCACTGTACATACTACATAGCCTATTGACTATTGTCAATAGCTCGTGCATGGTGTACATTCGAAAGAAAAATTGTACATCGAAGCACAAATCTGGGTTATCAGCAAGAGAAGATATTCACTTTGGACAGAGGAGGCAACCGTTGGTGCCCATGCTTCGTTGGATTATTGTACTCAGCCTTCAGCAGCGGTGCAAAGACCTCCGAAACGACGCATCCTCTCAGCTTGAGGCGATCGATGCGGTCTGGTGTAAGCTCAAAGAATTCAGCTCGCAGATGCAGAACAAACGATCTATCAACGCTGGCCTCGAGGCCATTTCTGAATCCCAGCTTCGGCGTATGCAACCAGTCCACACTGATGACTCGCACGATCGTACACTCACTGTGCATGTTCGATTTTTTTTATTTTTTTCAGAAAAAAATCAAAACGTATGCGTGCGGACGACGCGAAACATAGATATAAAAAATGATGGCCTAATATAGTGTAATAATAGTGGCAATATCCAATCAAATGACAGAGAGGAGAGCATGACTTGTGATGTCACCTGTGTTGCCAAAAGAATATTCGTTTGCTCGTTAAGCCAAAGAAGATTCGGCTACTGGGTTTTGATATTCGTTTCACCACTAGACTGTGTGTGTGTGTGTGTGCGTGTGTGTGTGTGTGTGTGTGTGTGTGTGTGTGCGTGTGTGTGTGTGTGCGTGTGTGTGTGTGTGCTTGTGTGTGTGCTTGTGTGTGTGCTTGTGTGTGTGCTTGTGTGTGCATGTGCATGTGTATGAGTGTGTACATGTGTGTGTACATGCGTACGTGTGTGCATGTGTGTGTGTGTGTGTGTATGTGTACGTGTGTGTGTGTGTGTGTTTGTGCGTGTGTATTTGTGTGCATGTGTATGTGTGTGCGCGTGTGTGCGTGTACGCCTCTGCCTCTTCATCAGCTGCACCAAAGAAGAAAATCATCACAACTCCCACTGTGCTTGTGGATGAGAAGACGGGGATTCGTCTGGGCACCTTCATCTATATGTTATTAGGTGAGGGTGAGCCTCAGAAACGGTGGTTGGATCGAGCGAGCTGGACAGACATATACCTGCTCTACGTAAGCTGGAAATCCGACGTGACTGTACAGCTCCAGGGGCACGTCTCAGAAACGTTTCGATACGTATTCTATGCTAAGTCGACATGGACTTCGTCGCGTAACCACATGGCAAAGCTTGGACATCAGTGGGAACTTGAGCAGAAATGGCGTTTCGAGTACTTTGTCATTTTTGACGAGGACGTACTACTGGGGTATCGGGCGCCGGAGATCCCCACGAAAGTAGTGCTGGATTTCCCGAATGATGGCAGCATTGCACAAGTTCAACGAAGTTCTTCTCCGAGATCGGCCCATGAAAGCGGGAGTCAGCTTCAACGAATTTGACTGGAACAAGAAAAATCTGCGTTGCCAGAGCCAATGTCAGGCGGACAACTTGGTAAGGGCATATCATTGCTCAGCAAATTGTTTTCTGGAGCCATACACCACACACTTCGATAAAACAAATTGGTGGCTGTCTGCTTACATTCTAAACATGTACATCTCGGCTATTGGTCCTGAATACTGTGCCAGTTACAATGAAATAGTGTGTGTGTGTGTGTGTGTCCCCATATGGTGCAGTGGTATGAGCAGTCGATTTCCAATCGAGAGGTTGCGGGTTCAACTCCTGACGATTATGGTCGCACAATTCTTTCTTCTCTTTCTCATTCTCCTAACTCTTCTTTCATTCTCCTGGGTGGTTACCAACAGCCAGTGTATGCCGGAGTATGTGGTGTGGCGTGTGTGTGTAAAAAATAAATTAATATTAAAAAAAAATGAAAAATAGGGATTCACTAGCCAGGAAAAGCCACTTCAGCAAGCAGTGTGGTGTATACCAGGCTAAAAATTAGTGGCGGTCAATTCATCAGCCTTGCAAGCTGTTGAATGGTGTAATCCCGGCACAAGTTGCTATGTCTAACATACCTGTTCGCTATCATCGCTTCCGCGATGGGAATGTGTGAGGTCTGAGATGTGTGTGTGTGTGTGTTTGACTTTAACTTTAATAGTGGCGAAACGAATATTCGAATATTCGTTCGGTTTGTCACGTTCGAGTATTCGTTACGTCACTTCGAATGCACTGCATGTACATGCATGCACGCCGAACACAGTAGAGTGCAGTGCGTATAGCCTGCCCTGTGATTTCGTACTGCATGCGCAGATGTATGCGCATACTGGACTGCCAATGTTGCACATAACATGTATGAACTTTGAAGTAGTCTTAGGGCCGGGTTCCACTGCGGCTCCGCTGCTCCGCGGCACTTGGCTGCATGCAGCGGAGCAGCGCGGTTCCACTGTCACTCGCCATTCGCGGTACCGCGGTCGTGGTCCACACTTTTTGATGACGTTTCACCTGCCTGCGCGCGCGCAAAATCAAACAAATCCTCGTGTTCTGGCCTGCGCAACGAATTAAAATTTGAATTTTAAAATTCTGGCGTACAAAACAATGCAAAGTACGGGAAACAGGTCGAGCCACGACCGCGGCTCGCAGTTTTTGGTCAAGAATCGTAGCAAAAGCTCGCGGTGAGCCGCGGACTCGCTGCTCCAGCTCGAGCCGCGGTCACTATGGTAATGATGACGTTTCAAGCCGCGAAAGACGAGCAGCGGGACAGCGGAGCCGCAGTGGAACCCGGCCCTTATATGGCAGTACGTTTAGTGGCACTACCGTTTGTCATGCCTAATAAAGTGTAATAATAGTGGCAATATCCAATCAAATGACAGAGAGGAGAGCATGACTTGTGATGTCACCTGTGTTGCCAAAAGAATATTCGTTCGCTCCTTAAGCCAAAGAAGATTCGGCTACTGGGTTTTGATATTCGTTTCACCACTAGACTGTGTGTGTGTGTGTGTGTGTGTGTGTGTGTGTGTGTGTGTGTGTGTGTGTGTGTGTGTGTGTGTGTGTGCATGTGTGTGTGCTTGTGTGTGCATGTGTATGAGTGTGTACATGTGTACGTGTGTGTGTGTGTGCATGTGTACGTGTGTGTGTGTGTTTGTGAGTGTGTACTTGTGTACATGTGTATGTGTGTGTGTGCGTGTACGCACGCGTGCAGGTTCTACTGTTCATAACCTCCGCTTGGCTGACGTAACGCGGATACAAGCCAGGGGTCCACCAGGACTGGAAAGTGAGAAGCACAAATAGGGAGTGGCTCATAGTTGTGTCCTTTGCCCTATGACATGAATGTAACGAAGATGAAGTCATGGTGCAAGTTCGGTCTTCATCTCCTTTCCCCTTTGTGCTTGCAAGTCTTCATCATAATTATGACATGATTGTGTCATGGTGTTGTGGATTCGGTGTGCGGTATGTACGGCTAACCAGCAGGTTACGGCCACTGTTATGCGTTTCAAGTCATCACCGGCGAACGAGCATTTGTGCTGGAAGCTGCCAACGTCAAGGATTATAACATGTAAGTGCTTGGCGCGTGCATGCGTACGCCGAGGAAATCTGCCACCAATTGAGTGCCATGCAACTACTAGTAACTGTTATTGTAATTCTGCAGGGTATGTACCGTAAAGTACCGCCAGAGCGCCCCACCATCTCATCCTTTCGTGGTCGTATTGTGGAGGTGGTCTGCTGTCTGTAGCTCATACGACATGAACCTTGTACACATATTGCACGTTTTGCAGTCAATCCGTACCTTCGAGCGGACACAAGCTCCACACAAAACCCTGCCAAGCGTGACCTTACATTAAGATTCTCACATCGTACAAACTTCGTTGCACTCTGCCATACGATTTTCCTTTCTCAGGCTGTAAAATCAAGGTGAGGCGCTCTCGCGAGACGGGGCGCTCTGGCGGTACTTTACGGTACTAGTAACAATCGCAGCTAGTCAAGTCTGACCTGCAGCAACCGATCAGCATTGTGCCCCCCCCCCCCCCCTCCCAAGTGCAGTCGGACTGACCGCAGTGTTTCCAGCACTGGTGCATGGTAGCTTATCCACGGTGTTGATTTCGCTTGCTGCAGTCCTGCCTCATGGTACTTGCACCTCCAGCCGCGTAGTGAATGTCAGCGGGCGTGTGCTAATATGGGCTTGCTGGTACTTTTTTATTGGAATGCAAAGCTACTTCGAAGGTTGGCGATGCTGGACATCTGCAAGGGAACAGGGCAACATAATGTGTCTATTGTTTCTATTGCTGCAGTGAGTTTGACTGTGCTTACAGTCTAGTGGTGGTGCATCAGTCTAGTGGTGGTGCATCAGTCTAGTGGTGGTGCATCAGTATAGTGGTGGTGCATCAGTATAGTGGTGGTGCATCAGTATAGTGGTGGTGCATCAGTATAGTGGTGGTGCATCAGTATAGTGGTGGTGCATCAGTCTAGCGGTGGTGCATCAGTCTAGTGGTGGTGCATCAGTACAGAGTCGGTGGTTAGCGTACTAGTAGTTGATCATAAGCTTCCGACCATGCAATCGTGAGACATCTGCACAATTTTTTTTTTTATTGCGACATTTTTCCTGACATCTTTTGTATACATGCTGCAGCTGGACGGAAGGACTCAAGTGTGCTGTGTACGTCAGCCAAGCGCACCAAAGCCTTCAGGGGCGGCAGCTGGAAGATCGTGCAAGACGACACGCCAAGCGCTCGCGTGACAACCATCGGCAGTTGATAGCGGATCGAGTGCGAGCGCGCCAAAAACGAATGAAGAAGTCTGGCTAGATACTAGATAGCATAGCCGAACATGGTCAGGACCTTCTCACAGGTGCATGTTGAAGGATTTCGGTCTTCCCAATGTGAGTAACCGCTATTCGGTCTTGTATGAATTAGGGTGTAGGAAACGTTCCTGGCGAGTCAATCGACTCGGTTTTCATTCGATACAAGTTGATGGTAGAGAATCCTATGGCTTGATACACACCAGTGACAACAGCAGTGTCTTTCTTGACTCTTGAGATGTACCGGTCACATGCTCATGCTCCTCTGCATAAAAATGAGCTTATAAGTTAAAATTGGACAGAGTTTACGAAGTATTAGGGAGTTTGCGCTGTTGCAATGCTTCGAGTTGATTTCTTGGATCCATCACAGTAACAGCATTGTTAGCATTTCAAAGTAAATTCATAGTCCGTTCCCCTTGCATATTCAGCTCGGTCGTGGTAGTCTTAGGGAAGTGGGTTTGATTACTTCACCATATTGCACTAGACTTTCCTGAACAATGGTGATAAAATAATAATTTAATGATAATCGGCCTATATCTATATCTTTTCATTAAAATGCATTTGCTGGTTAAGTTTGTATTCATTGCAACCACAATTTTAGTTGTAACATTTTAGCCCGTAATAATATTTTGCCTTTGATACCAAGCCCGTAATAATATTTTGCCCTTGATACCAAGTCCAAGCATTAAGGCCGTGATCGTTTGGTCGGATCCAGATCCAGATCCATCGGATCCACTGGATTTGCAATGATCGATTGGTCGAATCCGGATCCTCCAGATTTGGATCCGAGCAACCCTGCTCCGGGAGCAAGGTTGACTGGATCCATCGGATCCAAATGTGACCTTTGTGCGTATATGGCGGGTAAAAATCATTTTTTGTACTCATTGTCGTACGTCTAGTGGACTTTTGCCTTTTTGGGTGACCTGTCAGCGCCATATTTACTTCGTCAACATGGCAACAGCCAAGGTCCGAAAAAAAGTGTTCGGTTGATTCTGAAGGATCCAACGGATCTGGTTGTGATCTGGAGGTGGTTGATGATTCGATGTGCGTGTGGGTGACCTGTCAGCGCCATATTTACTTCGTCAACATGGCAACAGCCAAGGTCCGAAAAAAAGTGTTCGGTTGATTCTGAAGGATCCAACGGATCTGGTTGTGATCTGGAGGTGGTTGATGACTCGATGTGCGTATGTGTGTACGTGTGTGTGTGGGGGGGGGGGGGGGCAGGAGACAGAGACACAGAGAGAGAGAGAAATTAGCAATGCTTGACTGGGTTAAAAAGATATAAAATATATAATTAGTAATTAGTACATAAATTTGCCAAATTAGGCTATGATCGTTTGGTTGGATCCAGATCCAAATCTCTGCTCTTCATGGTAAAAGCCATAGTAGCATGGATTAGATTTGGGGTTTCTCCGGCCACCAGGGTGTTTTGTGGATCAGGAAGTGCTAAAAGAAGAAGAAGCTTACTACTCCTTGATTGTGATTGATAACACTTGGGATGGATTTAAATTCCGGCCAATGAAAATATCGGAAGGTTTCAAGTGTACCTGAAACTAAAATGATAGTTAATCACACCAAAACTATCAATTCAAGGCAACAAAAAAGGGCACAATGAATATCAGAGAGCTGTACGATCCACAATGTGATGTGGGTTGTGTGACAAATAATTCAGTTTTGTCACATCACGACGGTACGCTCCAAGGGGATTCACGGTACGCTCAAAGGGAAGAACAGGAGCAGCTTCGGGGCTGCCTTAGGACGTAATCCTGACCACCATTGAATGCACACTTCAGAATGGCTGCTGAAACACCATCGTGTTTAGCACATGACCTTGACGGTCAGCTGCTCAACAGCACTACCTCTGCAGCATGCTCAAGCAGTGCGACAATCGTCCAGTCAGAGCTGCTCCAATGGTGCACAGAAGCGCGGTTGCCTTACTCTGCCTGAGCTGCAGCTTGATTTGGCTGTTGTGTTGCGTCAGCTGTTGCGCCGGCTGCCGTTGGCTCCCCCACAGTCTTGAAGTCGGCGAGTCTGAAGCAAGTATACGGGTATAGAAATGTAACAGTTGCAGTGAACAACATTGTGACTAGTGGAGGCAGTTTTTGATTGATCTGGCCCATACCATAGTCTTTCCTGTATGATATGGAGGGTACTAGTCACATGACCTCCTCAGCAGCAAACACGTGTATGATATGGAGGGTAGGCCTAGCCCAAATTTGCTCGGGGCGCTTCGATATTTTGCCGGCAAATTTTGCCCGATCACTTTCTATATTTTGCTAGGCATTGCCTTTCGTTTCCGATATTTTGCTCCATTTTGCTCCTGCTTTGTGGCAAAAATGGCTTCGAATGAACCGTCTACTTTGGTAAAAGTGGATGGTGACTCTGATGAGGAAAGCAAAACTTATAATGGTGTCAGTATTACGGATTTGGTAGCATGATTTCAAAGTTACGTACCACTGACAACCTGCACGAGCTATTTCAGCACGACGTTGGCCCAATGAAACCAAAGAAATTTGAATAAAATTGCAAAACACACCCGGATCCTCTGTAAATTCGATATTTTGCTCGGAATTTGCCAGCAATTTCTTTTCGTTGGAAAATTCGATATTTTGGTGGAAGAATTGCCGGCAAATTTGGGCTAGGCCTAATGGAGGGTACTAGTCACATGACCTCCTCAGCAGCAAACACGTGTATGATATGGAGGGTACTAGTCACCTGACCTCCTCAGCGGCAAACACGTGTATGATATGGAGGGTACTAGTCACCTGACCTCCTCAGCGGCAAACACGTGTTGGTGTCCAGCAAGTTGGTCCGGCCAGGGCTTGACCAAGCGGATTGATTCCGCTGGGCTTGCGAACTGCGTAACTGACTACTGTCCACTGGTTCTTACATAGCAAGAAGAGCAGCGTGGCGAGGGAATAGGGGTTGTGCAACATTGCAAAAGAGGCCATGGTGGACAGCCTGCGGATTCGCGCTACATATACAGCATGGATCAGTACTGTATAGAGAATGTGCAGGCAGTTGCACACTCTTGGGGGTATATACTCTTGCCAATATCAATATCATTGTCAACATCAGCATGATCAAGAACTTACTACAATACAAGTTGTCCTTGAATTGCTTGAGGTTGCAGGCGACGCAGACAAGACGTTTCAGGGCAGAGGTCTTGCGAATGAGCTGGCACACATCCGGATCTAGATACGTCCGGTTGTGTGCATGTGAACACAAGCAAACGTGCACACGTATACACACACATGCACGTACACACACGTACACACGCACACACATACACACACACACACACACATGTGCACACACAGACAAACAAATTAGGATCTGCCCGGTATGTCAAAGAATCGTATTGAGTACTCGAGCACTCGTCCGTCAGCTAGGGTTATCGTTAGCGAGTGTGCTCGATAAGAGATCGCTAGTGGTATGCGTCTACGCACGATCATTGCATGCCTGGAAAGTGCGTAAGTGCAGACTACTGACACTATTGATACTGTTACTGTGCATCACTAGTATTAGACACCCATAGCAAACAACGGTAACGCTATTTTTTTACGGTACTCGTACCTTGATCATCCAAATAGCGTTGAAGCTGCAGCGTAAAAACGTTATGGGGGCTGGTTTATCGTTGTGACCAACGGTACGTGTTTCGGCCAAATATTGCATAGTCCGTACGCATTTCACCTTGTATCGCGTATATGGTGACATAAATGGTTGTACTGCGCGAAATAAAAGCTATTCTTGTGGCAACAGCGTACTAAAAATAGCGTGCATCTTGCTAAAGGTCGAATCCAAATCACGGTATTTTCACCCTTACGGTAATACCGTTACAACATAACGTTTTTCGCTAAGGGTGTCTATTGAGTGCAAGTTGCGACGAGTCAACAAGTGCCCCATGCCTGTAGTGACTAGCGTGCAACAGTAGCTTTTTGATTGTTTGTCCTGCACTTGCTTGCAGTGCAAACTGTCATTCCGTCAGTTGAACTTCAATACTGCAGTCTTCCTACCACACCAAGAGTGCAGTAATCTATCTACGATACTGCTCGTGTTCACACTTATAGATTGTATTTGTATTTACGGATTCTCCACAGGCATTTATAGCCTAAATCGAAGGAGTCTCCGTAGATGAAGTTAAAGAGTACAATGCAATTGAAATGTGACACTTTCAAATGAAACACTTACGCAAGCCAGCTCGTGGTGGATCAACAACGGCGACCAGGTTGGGGTTGCGGCCGACGGGTCCATGACAAATTCTGCTTTGCCACAGATAAACTCAGCATTGGTGATGCCTGCCAGCATGCACATAAACATCATGTACACGCACACACACACAGACAAATCACCACTACCACCATTGGACGCCCATCGCCGGAGGCGATGATAGCGATGCTACAGCAGAAGCCATAGCAGCTTGTGCTGGGATTGCACCATTCAACAGCTTGCAAGGCTGAAGAATTGACCGCCACCAAGAGTACATAACCCAAGAGTATGCAACTGTGATTATGGGTGCATGCGTGGCGCGCTGCCTTCATTACGTAACTTGCCTTCATCACGCTCTGAAAGCATGCATTCAAACTCTCAATTTCTCGCACGAGCCCATCCGTTTTTGCTCGATTCGTTCCAGTACCTACACAATCTCTGAATTCTGGCACGTGAATTCCAGTTCCGTACGAAAGTTCATTTCAAACTAGAGGGAAAGTGCGGTGTTTCATTTTCCGCAGTGCGCGGACTGCAGCTGAATGATGTAATGAAGGCAGCGCGCCGCCCGTTTGGCCCATAGAAAAGAGATCACAGTTGCATACTCTTGGGTTATGGACTCTTGCCGCCACTATTCAGCCTGGTCTACACCACATAGCTATGAAGTGGCTTTTTCTGGCCAGTGAATCCCTACTTTTTGGTCTTTTTCATTTTTTCACGCACACACATCACACCACGTACTCCGGCATGCACTGGCTGTTGGTAACCACCCAGGAGAATGAAAGAAAAGTCAGGAGGAGTCTGAGAAAGAGAAGAAAGACATGTGTGACCATAATCGTCGGGAAATGAACCCGCAACCTATCGATTGGAAATCGCTGCACATACCACAGCACCATATGACACACACACACACACACACACACACACACACACACACACACACACACACACACACACACACACACACACACACACACACACACACACACACACACACCTTGACCTTGATCTTGCCCATTGCGTACGCAATGATAGCGAATGTCGGAAAGTTCAAGTGAGAACACGAGCGCAGAACTTGGCATGTCGTTTCAGGTCTCCTGGTCGACGAAATGGGCGTCCACAGACACATAGAAGAGGATCAGGAGCGGGCCGTGGCGGTGGGGTGCTACTCGCAACTCGTCTCCAGCCGGGACGATCTTGGCAACTCTCAAGCCAGGTGGTCACGCCGAGGTCCGCCAGGTCAGTCGACACCACATCTCGCCACCTACACACACGCACGCACGCACGCACACACACACACACACACACACACACACACACACACACACACACACACACAGGCACACACACACACATCCGCACATACACACACACGCACGCACACACACATGCATGCACACAGACAGACAGATACAAGTACACACACACACACACGCATGCACATGTGCATACACACACACATATACACACACGTACACACACGTACACACAGACACACACACACACAGACACACACACACATCCGCACATACACACACACACACACGCACGCACACACACACATGCATGCACACAGACAGACAGATACAAGTACACACACACACACACACACACACACACACACACACACACACACACACACACACACACACACACACACACACACATGCACATGTGCATACACACACACACACACATATACACACACGTACACACACATAGACACACAATGTAAAAAAACGAACGATACACGATGCACGGTGCGATGAAACTACAAGACAAGCAAAATGTTGCTTGATCTCTTCCGGCACACTTCCAAGATTGGCACGGTGTATTAACATTTCTGGACTACTGTTCCATAGGTCTAACTCTTGCTGTGGCTGTATTTCCTGTCAATTGCCACAGCCGGTCTCTATCTAACAGCTTCAAGATGATTACAATTGTACAGTCATGTAGAGGGGACGGTTTCAAATAGGACACTGGTTGCAAACCGGAACGGACTCAATATTCACTTTCTCTCTTGGTATTTTGATTAGAAAACATATGTCACAGTGAGACTACGATGTGTTATACTCCGAGCCAAAATTTCATGGCTCTGCGATGACCAGAAGCGCCATATCAAGCAGGTGAGTTTTTGGCGTGTTGCTTCGCACCTGGACTTGAGTTTTACGACTTTCGAAAAATCAACTTCTTGTCGCAGGTAAACAGTGGCTCGCCTCTCACCAATAAAGCACCGCATACCAATCAAAACTAATGGAAGCACACACAAGGCTTATTGTTACTCTGTACTGGCCGTCGTGGAGCGATAGCAATTACCTAATTTCAGACCCAGAGTGAATTTGACGTGCACTCTAAAACGTGTCCGGTTTGGAGCCACCTCTGATTTGAACTTTTTTGAAGCGAAAAATTGGGCAACTTGGAGGCAATGGGTCAACACAAAGGAGTGGCTCAGTTCGATTGACTCTGGCCCCAGAGCAAACTTCAACATGCCAGTTTCCTTCCACAAACATATTTCGAGTGAAAAATCAACGCTGATGATCGGTTTGGGTCTACACAAATTTGGCTGTCAAAGCGTCCCGGTATCGAGCCGTCCCCTCTACATGTAGCCAATCAATCAGCCAATCAGCCAACCAATCAGCCAATCAGCCAGCTACAGTCCATTCAGAAAAAGATGATATCCTAGCTTTTGGCCATAAATGGGTCAAATTTGGAGTTTTTGTCACAATTTTTTTGGCAATCCCCAATGGAATGCTCTTCCAATTGTGTTTTTGAAGTCTATTTCTCCAAAAAGCAAGTCATAACAAGAATAGGATTTCGGCCAGGTTTTGCCCCCAAAGCACTGAGTTGGGGAAAAACCATGAAATTCCAACCCGTGCACTCCACTTGCAGAACACAGTCCATCCTCAAGCGTGCAAAAAACATATCTCTGCCACTAATCGAGACTTACACTGATTTTTGCGCTTTTGGGCCCAAATAAGTCTTGATGACGGCAAAAAATAATTGTCAACTGAATACGGAAGTGAACGAATTTGGTCGAAAGTGTCGAACCACCTTCATGACGAGCAACCGTTTGTGGCCACTGTTTGTGAACTTGGAGCTTGTTATGGTGTTTGTCGGCAGGAATTTTTTTATGGCGATCAGGAAACGTTTTTCACATCGAAATCAGTGGTTACCCTTTGAAATTGAGATGTTCAAACAGCGAATTTTCTACGTCGAAATGAAGTTGGAGCACCATCGAGTTTGATTATTCCGATTTCCTTGGTGGGCTAAGGTAAGGGTAATTAACAGCTAGACATAAAAATCTCACCTGTTCATGCCCTGTATAATCCAACTTCGACCTTCAAAGTGGGCGTACTCAAGCAACATAAATCATACATGCCGTATACATAAACCTTTGAAGGGAGCATGAAAACACGCACACGCATAGCTGTGTATACATGTACATTGTAGACCCTAGTTTGTGTTCCTCTGTGTGTCTCGGTGTGTCGTCAATGCTGTATTCGACAACCGTAAGCATAAGGAGAAAGTTGCCGCTGTACGCGCTCTTGTGTGTAGTATGTGTGCCGCGTTCAGTTGCTGTCTAGTATGAGATATCGGTACATGTAGCTGGGCTGGTGGTGTGTATTGCCTTGATGTGGATCACCTAACTCGTGGCCTTCTAAAGCCCGTTGAAACGCATGCCGTTTCAGATGTATGGTCTCGTGTTGTGTGTGTGTGTGTGTGTAAGTGTGTGTGTGTGTGTGTGTGTGTGTGTGTGTGTATGTGTGTGTGTTGTGTGTGTGACTGTGTGTGTGTGTGTGTGTGTGTGTGTGTGTGTGTGTGTGTGTGTGTGTGCATGTTTGCGTGTGTGTGTCAAAATGCATGCCGTTTCAGATTTATGGTCTCGTGGTGTGTGTCTGTGGTAGGGACCGGTGGATTCTGCTCGAAAAGGTGGCAGATTCTGCTCGAAAAGCAGTGAAATTGGCAGAACCATACAAACCTTATGGCGGGCAATTCCTCGAATTCTGCTCCATTTCTTTATCCACATACCAAACATGCATGAAACTTACCAGAAAAAGTACCGAATTCTGCCAATTTTCTGCCGGCAGAATCCGCCGGACCCTAGTCTGGGGGGGGGGGGGGGTGGTGTGTTTGTGTGTGCGCGTGTGTGTGTGGGTGTGTGAGTCTGTCGCGCTCACAATATCTCGTCTTCTGCTTATGAAGCTACATGTACATGTATGTGTTATTTGTAGGAGATTACAATGTAGAGGTGATTGCCTGCTTTGCGTTCCTCTCTGCTTGGTCTGCATTATCAATTTATCAGTACTGGTTTTTGCTCTTCACACGTACACGTACCCCCCCCCCCCCCCCGCACATAAACAAACACACACACACACACACACGCGCACGCATGCTTATGGTATACGGTTTCAGTTTGAAAAATGCAAAGTGTCCTGTACATGTGTGCGTCTGATGCATTCACACGAACTTCAACGGTCTATGATGCACGCGTCACTTCTCCTTTGACTATGAGTTTGAGGAAAGAAAACCAAAGCATATCAATACAATCACATACATGTATACAAACTTTTAAAAGTGTGTGAATGTACAACGTACGTTTGTCTTGTTTATGCTGTGTGTCACTTTGTTCTGGGCATGGAAATTCTGTCGTATTTGCGAATTGTCGTTATATACGCAGTGGTTATTAGAGAAGTTGACTGTGTGTGAATGTACAAAGTACGTTTGTCTTGTTTATGCTGTATGTCACTTGCTCGGCCACCCGTGTTGCGTTCTCTCTGTTTCGGCTATTGCTACTGCACTGTTCTAGCCAGAAATTATTGTTGATAGGGAAACCGAGTGCGAACCTGGCTAGGCTTTGTTGGTGAGGTACTCTCATGTGTGCATATCCGTGCTCGTTTGTATTCCTCCGACGGTGTGGCACACACATGTGATGTATGCGAAGTGTATCCGGCATGTACGAACAATGTGTGTGCATCCGCGGCACGCATGTTTGACATGTTTG